GATCGCGAACATTGTAGGCACAGACATGGATGTTGAAGAACTCCACCCACGATGCATAGTGGTCGTCGGTCTGATTAAGTATGAGTGGTATGGCATTGCGGATATTGCTTACGGTGAAGGCTGGGTGGAATGTCGGTTTAGGGTTGGCGTCGCCGCCGCTGGCACCCATTCGGGAGGGAAGGAAGAAGAAGGGTTAACGGCGGTGGTTAGGGTTAGGTCAGAGAAGGCTTTGATACCATAAAGTTTGTTATAATTCCTCGATCCCTTTCTCTATTCACATCCCAGAATATATACAAAAAGAGTCCTCTAAACTAGGAAAGGAATCCTCTAAACAAGGAAGAGATATACACCAAATAACAATATAAAATATATACATATGATTCGGTCAATGGTGATCCGCTAAGATTTATCTTCATGCAACAGCTGAATTCCGTTCAAAAAGTCGTTTCTTAAAGATCAATGGTGGTGGAGTGCTGCAACATAGAACAATAGGTATTCTAGTTTAAGATTTAGTTACTCTAATGGTGCATAGACAAGCAAATCGCTTAATTTAGCTCCAAGTATAAATAAATAAAAAATAATATAATAAAAAGGACTCAAGGTTGAGATAAAAGAAAATAAACTACATAAAAGTATAGAAAATAGACGCTTTATGTCTTGAATAATCAGTGCATATCAGTTGTGCATGCATGTAAAATGTTGATCAATTTACAACAGTTATGTTGTCCAAATTTTTAGAAAACAGCTTTTGTAATCATATATCATAGGATAGGTATAGTAAAACATGATCAAGAAATACGGGCCGAACATCGCAACCCAACGAGTTGGAGATATGGAGTTATGGGAATGTTATGCATTTGGGAGGAGAAAGGGCATGTTCCACACTTTGTGGTGGCAAGTTCACAGGTTAGGTCATTGCAGTACTAGTACATGGCATTCTTCCTCCATCGTTGATGAGGTTATTCTATTTACTCCTATTTATTTTCTCGTTTAATTGAAATATATTGTGATATTACTTATTATGTGTTTAAAATTTATAGGTATAACAATTAAACGAGGAGTTCCAAAAGATAAAATGAGTGAGAGACCAAGAGACATGAACAAGAGATGGAGAAATCGCAGTGAGAGGCCAAGAGCGAGAAAACGAGAGACGAGATCGTGAGCAGAAGAGACATTAGCATGAAAGAGGATAGGACAAAGGCATTAAGGACTCTCGAGCGGGCGTTATCACATAACTATCGAGCACCTCTTCCGGTCCCCGATATTCTCTTTATTGTGGATACTTGTACACATTCTTTATATAATTTTTTTGGTTCTTTTTAATAATAATTTGGAAATTTTGTTTAGCTTTATATCGCGTATCAAATACAAATAAGATGCAGAAATTACAACATTTAAATTTTTTGTTGATTTTTCTACCTTAGTTCTGCCTAACTTGAAGCCTCCTGTTTCTTCAGGCTCCGGCAAGGTCCTAGCTTTAGGGGCTAGGGCTTTTTTTGAATTAAAATAAAGAAACCGATGACTTATCAATGAAAAACGCAAAACCATCAACATGAAATCCATCGATAATTTGTTGGTAAATTATAAATACCATTAAAGTTATGACGATTTACCGACAAACTGGCTATCGGTCACAAAACCACGATAAACTTCCGTTAGTAAGCCATTAATGCGTTGTTGACATACCATTTTCAAATTAATTTCACAAGTACAAAAAAGATTTATCGACAGTTATGTCCAGCAATGAAGTTTAATATCCGTCAGCATAGTGGGTGTCAGTTTTCTTGCTGACCATTTTTTACCAACGATTTTTCTGTCTAAAACCCGTTGGTAACCGTTGTTATCGATGGTTAACAGTTTCTTAGTGAAGTTCCAAACTTCCTTTGCATGGTATACCCTAAAAATTGTTGATGAAAGGCAACAATGAATTCCAAAATCTTAGCATTCTTATTGTCCCAATCGTATAGCCAATTGATGGAGCCATCCTCCTAACATATATGTATAAAACCCTTGAGACTTGATCTGTATTGTCATGTGATGATGTCATAAGACCGTGACCATATAATACAACTGAGATAGGACATTCTTGAAATACCCATGTTATATGATTGTGTTGTTTAGCTTTCTTTGTGTATCTGTTTATCATGGCACGCATATTGTTAGCGATCCGTTTATTCTACTTCGATCGTTGGTTGTTTACCCCCCCCCCCCCACTTTTTTGGTATGGATGTTGTGACTCGTCGTTAGGGAAAACGTCTTTTCTCCCAAACTAGCATTATTTCTGAATGCAAGTTCCATTATATACATAGATACATACACATACACATACACATACGTATATATATATATATACACATTACATGTGTGTTTGTAGAAAGAGAATCGGTTGGATCTGGGTGATTGATTTAGGAGTTGATAGAAATAAACAAACTAACAATAGACAGAAATACAGACAAGATACAAATAAATTAAAAGCATTTGCACATGCAAAAACCTAATGACCACCAGCAGCACATTAAAAGAAACAAGACAAAGACAAAACAAACACCATGCCACAGCCCTAGATCTCAGTGTTTCTGTTGATTCTCCCCACCACCACCACCACCAGCTCTACACATACACAACCTTTATACACCTGGGGAACAGATCCAAACTCACATGGAAGCTTCAAAAGAAAGCAACAACAGCACTTCAATTCCCTTTTGTTTTTCTTCTAACTTTTTCCCCTCAACCATTCATGATCCACTCTTTTCGCCATTCCGTCATCATCGATGCCACATTTATTCTATTTAGATATATATGTTCATAAATATATCGGGAGCCGGTTTCGAATAGGGTCTACATGTTGTGTCAACCCCAATATTGCAAACTAAAGGATCAGAAGACCATCAGGAGAACATGAAGTAGTAGTTGTTTGAGACTCTAAGAGGAGGTTAACTTGGTCATATCTCTGGTGGATCTGTTGTATTTCATGTGGCTCTTGACCAGCTGACCAGCTGCAAGTGCTGCCATGAGAGAGAGCTCACCAGCAAGAACTGAGCCAGCTACTATTGTGGCCAACACCCTTGAGTTTGACCCTGGTTCATCTGTGCTTGCACCTTTGACACCTAATAAGTTCAAACATGCTGATTGTGATGCTAGTTGTGTACCACCTCCAACTGTTCCAACCTGAAACCAGAATTAATGAAATAAAATAAGCCTTCTTGTTCAATTAAAAATAGGGTATTCTCAATTACAGACAAAAACAGGCATGCAACTATTCGATACATGTGATTTCATGAACCAAGTCATATGGGTTTTCAGTTTTGACAGAAAATATATCAAGAATAAAACAAACCAAACCAAGCTAGCAGTATAATCCACTCGGGTACCGGAGCTGGAAGGTGTGATGTATACAGATCTGATCTCTACTCCAAAGAGTAGAGGCTGAAGACCTCCCCCTTTTGAGAGACATCTGGCTACGGAAATGTGCAAACAAGAATGTGACCACCATTTATCATCAAAATATCACAAGGTTTATAAAATGGAGTTAAGAACATCTAAAGATTAACATAATTTCATACTCGAAGACCATTTAATTAAAAGAATAAAGTGTCGATCCACTTGTATTTATCAAGGAAAGAGAGCGTTCTCGATCACACGAAAGCCCCAAATTATGTACGATACGATAATATAATATTTCGGGTTGTTTAATCTTTTCTTAAGATACTTAATTATGACTTTTATAATTTAAATCTACTCCGACTTTGAAAGTAAAATATAATTCAACTTAAAAAGATAACATTATTTGTTTTTATTTGGGCAAATTGCATGAAAAAGTAACGTACTTTAACTTGATTCTTATTTTAGGTAACGTACTTTCAAAACTTCCATTTTGGTACCTAAGATGTAAAGTTTTAAACATTAAAATACCTCGGATAACTGGTTGAAGTATTAACCGGTTACCATGTTGATGTAGCAAGTGATATGGTATCTAACTCAATATTATTCGCTATTCAATCCAATTTCATCACATCACTCACCACATCAGCATAGTACCAGGGTACTTACATATTTAAACTTTATAGCTTAGGTACCAAAATAAAAGTTTTGAAAATAAGAATCAAGTTAAATTACATTATTTTTTAATACAATTTGCCTTTTTTTATTTACTTTGAACATTTCTTATATTAATTATTAATATTGATGATTAAACTCATTAATCAACAAGAAGCAGCTAACGATAAAAAAAAATTATAAATCCATTCGTCTTCTTGTGCATCTTTCATGTTTAATAATTTAATAAAAATTGCACAAATAATCAAGATTTTTTTTTTTGAAAAGAACAAAAATACTGAATCTTGTAAGTACCTCGATCGAAGGCATGGTGACGGACACATGAAGGTCTTTGCCATCGTTCACGGCTTCCATCATGGTGATGCAGTGAGAGCTCTCAATATTCTGGGCGGGGTCTTGTCCTGTGGCTAAGTACACTGCAGAGACTATATTACTAGCATGAGCATTAAAGCCTCCGAGTGCACCAGCCATGGCAGATCCCGTCAGATTCTTGAGCATGTTTAGCTCCACCAGGGCCGCCACGGTGGTTTTCAACACCTTTTCCACTACCTCTTCGTTGATCACTGCCTCACACACCACAGACTTCCCACGCCCTTCAATCCAATTCACGGCAGCAGGTTTCTTGTCGGAGCAATAGTTTCCTATCAAATCATTTGATCGGAAATTAATACTGAACCTTGATTTTGATTAATTTAGTTATTGCGTTTTTTTATGATAATGGATCCTTTGTAAGTATCTTCAACAGGTTTTTTATAATTTCTCAAAACTAGAGAGCCAAGAATCAAAATATTTAAAATAAATTACATTAGAAATTTCATCATTAATTATATTATTTAGATATTTTATAATCCAAATACACTTTAAAAACACTTTATATAAAATAATATTAATTCAATTTTATTGGTGGAATGAATATAAATTGGAGAATCACTTAGAATCATATATAAAACAAAATTTTCATTTTCTCTGTTTTAGATAATTTGTTGAAATGCTCTAATAAAAATCAAAAATGGAAAAAACGGATTACAATTTCTAAAACAAGATCTCATATTCAATTCTCCGCACACCCTGCAACACGCACATAACGATCGGAAGAGCATTATGGTGGAGCGCGAACCCATTTTCCACAAAAATGGAAAATGTGAGTGTTACTATGTATATATATATATATATATATATATATATATATATACACATGCCAACATTTAATGAAATCGTTGAAAAGAAAGTAAATTTATACCGGAAATGCCCATGACGTCCATATCAGGGTAATCAGTCTGAAGAAAATCAAGAACATTCTGGACACCTTTCGAGACCATGTTCATCCCCATTGCATCCCCGGTACTACAACAAAACCTTATGTATAGATTCTTGCCCGCAATTGCACATCGAATGCTCTGTAGCCTTCCGAATCTACTCGATCTGTAGATTGGACGAGATAAAAATAAATTTATTAAGACATAATAATTTTAAAAGAAAAATATTTTAATTAAATTTAAATTCTAAAATTATAAGACTTGTCCAGAATCCATATCTTGTGTGTGCTGCCCGCACTAAAATCAGCATTAAAGTTAAAAGACAGAGTAATAAAGTTCAAGACAACTGCCAAGGTCAAAAGACGCGCATCCAACGCTTCATGTCTTCACCTACTCACCACTTCTTTTTATTTTTTTATAAATTTCATTTAAATATATAAAAAGTCATTTAAATTTATTCCAAAAAGTAAAAATAAATTCTTTTTTTTTTTTATTAACCAGGATATCCAATTCGTTATGCGAACCGATTAATCCCAGAACGACCACCTGTTTTACAGATAGTTCGTACCGTGGTGAGGTAATTATATGTTAATTTATTCTTAAATAGCAATTTTTTTTGAAAATGAAAAAAATTAAAACTAAAACTTTTATCATATTAATTAAATTATTAAATAATGATATATTTAATTTTATCAAATGGAAATAAAATAACTTTTTTTCCAAATATATTTTGAAAAATTCTTTGAAATTTAAAAAATCAACTATTTTCTGCTCTTTTTCATTTTAAATATTTTTAGAGGAAAAAATAATTAAAAATATCCAAAATCTGATATTTTAATTCTATTTGTAGTTGACAAATTAAAACCCTTTCATCCATTTTAGTGTCGGAAAGGAAAATTGTCAGAAAATTGAAGTTAATGGAGAGATTGAAACAAAATACCGACTTGTTGAACACAACTGCAAGTGTGTCGAAGTTCATCGGATCTTCCAAGAATTGCTTTAACTCCGCAGCCCGCTTGGCGCTGCCGAACCTCACTACCGGCGCCCTCGTCATTCCGTCTTTCAGAAGTATACAGGTGGCGCCACCGGAGGCAAAGATGGCTTTGCAACCTCTGTTGGTGCTGGCCACCAGACATCCCTCTGTCGTCGCCATTGGGACGGAAAACTGCGTCCCATTCAATAACAATGGTCCGGCAATCCCTACCGGAATCTGAACGTATCCCACCGGCATCTCGCAACACTGGCCTAAAATGGAATCGTAATCGAACCCATCAAGAGGAAGACCGGATAATGATTTTCCGGTGATTCTCTGAAGAGCCTCCCGTCGTACCGCCGCCGCTCGCTTGCAGTCTCCGAGTTTTGACTCGAGGGCGTATGATGGGATTGAGCCTTTCACCACCATTTTCACGATTTCCTCATCTTCCTCCGACGTGTGTTCAATGGTGGGTGATGGTTTCTTCTTCTCCTTTGCCACATCCGCCGTGGGTTTTGTCGTCATAATGTGAGGGATCAAGGCCTGCCCGCATGGTTTGATAGGCTTATCTTCGTCAATCATGAGTTGTTCCGAGTTCTCATCCTCCATTTCCCACGAATCGGGCGAAGGGCGGATGATAGATTGGACGAAATCGATGCCGAAGAAGCCGAGGAGGTAGATGAAGGAGGCGATAAGCGAGACCAAGGCGGCGAGCTCGGACAACGTGACGACGTGGAGAGGGACGGAGTTACGGATCTTCTCGCGCCACCGGTGGAGGAGGAAGTACATGACGGAGAAGAACATAGTGAAGAAGAGACCATTGGTGAGATAAAGTGGGAGTGGGAGGGCGTCGGAGGCTTTTAATTGGTTGTGGGGTTTTAGAAGTTCACCGTCGGTATGTTGTTTTACCGATCTGGGGTGCGACTGATGCTTGACTGGTCGCCGGCGAACGTCCATATTTAACCGGCGGCGAGTTATGGAAACCGAGAGTGGTGGTGTACGAGGGGAGGTGTGGGGGGAAGAATGAAGACATTAGAAGCAATTTATAGAGAAAACATGATGCCACATGTACACCATGTGTGGTTCATTTGGAACTCAAAACCTTTTTATTCATAAAAATAACAAAAACAGTCCCTCAACTATAACTTTTGAAACAAAATCAGTCCCTCACACTTTTGCACATCTTTATTCGTGAAAATTACATTTAGAATACTTTTTATGAAGATTGTTGAAATCAAGTCTTTGGAAACAATTGGATAGAGTTTATGCATGGGTTCAATTGAGTAATGATAGGAGGTCGTTTACCAAATATTTATTTGGGTAAGCGCTTACCTTACTAAGTCACATTATCTTATCGGATGAATATGATAAGAACCAAAAATCTTATCCGGTAAGAACGAGACACGGACCGAGAATCTTTTTCTGGTAAGTGAGAACAACGACTTTTACCATGGTAAGCACTTACCAGGTAAATTGTTACGTACGATATCATTTTTGAGAACTAAAATCTTACCCGGTAAAAAAATGAGATTGTAACATTTTACCGATAAGTACTTATTCGATAAGTGATTGGTAAACAGCCCCTGACTCCTCGGTTGTTATGGTATTATAGCAACATTTACATATACTTTTTGATGACAATCTCTTATTTATAAATAAAAAGGATAGAAAGAGAGAGTGGGAACATACTCCACGTCGTTAGAATTCACTTGTGCACACGGAAGATATATACATGGTTGCATGTGTGATCCATCCTATTAAAATAACGGACATATCGATATTATGATTCCACATATGGTTAAACGTTTTGTGTGTGTTTCATTCATAAAAACTAGATCATAACCGTCGGATAGCCATTGGTAACAAACGTTTTACGTTTAAGGAGCTGTTTGGTAGTTGCTGAATGGTGTGGTGTAGAATGATTAAGTGGTCAAAATAATTAAAAGGCTATCATGATATAATGTAAAATAAAATATAATTGTTTGATAATTGTTTACAATGAAATTAGGGCGCTTAATGGTTAAGGGAGGCCCAAAATACAAAATCATTCAAAATGTTTTAGAACCATTAAGAGGCAGACTTTTTTTTGCCAAACAAGATTCACCTCTTAACGATTCAGATGTTGTCTCTTAATAAAACTATTAAAAGATAAACAAACAACCCCTAAGTTTCTTACGGTTTTCCACATTTATTAATGTTCAATTCCATTCAAATCCCTCTTATCCTCTAATTTAACCTATCTCTTTTTTCCATACCCTACACTAAAAATTTTAAAAAAAAATAGATTTTATTTTTCATTTTTAACCCTTTTTTATATTTTTTGTTTCAACTTATTAATCTTAACCCTTTTTTTATTTTTTATTTGATACCCTATATATATACTAATTAATTAATAGTATACTATTATCTATATCTATATCTATACTATCTTATAAAGCAAATTTAATAAAAATGTTAAAGTCTTAAAATACTCTTTATATCACTTTTTCACATCCTCCTCTCCTCACATACACTCACCCTCTCACAACGGAATTTTTTTTAAATTATAATTTTAAAATTACATTTTATACCCCTATAATTAGTTAATTAATTTATTTTATGTCTTTTACTTTTAAATGTTTCATTTTAAACTTTTATCAAATTAATATACATAATCGTATATCAATTAAAACATGTTTAAAAAATATATTTTTATTTTAACAAATTACATCATTATAATCGTCTCGTTAATACCTTCGAAATTAGTCCAATATAGAATAGTTTTTGACTAAATTATATTATTATATGTTATATATACTGTGAAAAAATATTTTTAATATTTACGATTTATACTTTTATAGTTATTTATTTTATATACACTATATATTTTGGGGTTAGACTATCCAAATTGCACTGTATAATATGTTCTTGGGTTTTTTTTGAAATATATATATATATACATGTATTAATTCAACCTTAATCTGAGTTTCTGGACAAGAAAGA